ACGTTGTATTTTTCATCATTGCTACATTGTACCCTGACTGACTCATCTCCTCCCTGAGACCCTTCTGTAAAGGGGTGCCCGGCTATCAAAAGATAAAGCGTCTGGGGTCTTAAAGGCTTGAAGGTAAACAAGTGGCCATCTAGCTCAGAAGCAACAAAGCCCACATGGAAGAAGCACACCAGCCGGTGGCATCACGAGGTGTGGAAGGGATCAGGTATAAGGCATCATCAGAACAAAAAATCTTACCATGGTGAATGAAGGGGGCAGTGCAGAGTGGAGACCCAAAGCCCATTTGTAGGCCACTGGACATCCACTTACCATTCTTGCCCACTCCTGTCTTGGTAATCGCTAATCTACTTTTATCTCTATGTGTTTGCCTGTTCTGGGGATTTCCTATAAATGGAATCATATAATACTTGTCCTCTTGTGTCTCACTTATTTCACTTAGCATGATGTTTTCACAGTTCATTCATGCTGTAGCGTGCGTTAGAATTCATCCCTTTTAGTGGTTGAGTAATACTTCATTGTATGGATATGAAGACTAAGGTATGCCTGGCTCAAGCCATGGTATTTTTAATTGCCTCATATACATGCAAGAGTTGGACACTGAATATGGAAAACCAAAGACTTGATGCCTTTGAATTATGATGTTGGTGAAGAATATTAAATACAGCAGACGAACAGGTCTGTTGATGCCGGTGGTTTCTTGAGCAAGGAGAATGAACATGGAACGCGAATAGGCACACAAAGACAAAGACAGACACACAGACTCAGAGACAATACAGGGCTGCAGCACAAATTAGACACAGAGACAGTACAAAACTGCCGCAGCCTCGACTGGCCGCAGTGCTTTATTATTTATCTACTAAATACTGGCAGTGTTCCCAGACAAGTTTGCTATTCTCACACTTGAATTTCTCATAGCCTTGAGGGTGAGTTTCATATCTCCGCCCATACCGATGTTTTCATTTCTACCAGCGAAACACTTGTTTGCAGCTGTTTCCAAAAATCATCTTCCTGTTTGCAGGAAGGATGCTGTTCATGAGAACCAGCTAGGACAGATGTTTGCGTACTGTCCTAGACAGACACATGACACGAGACACAGTGCTCCTCGCACGGCTCCTTCATCTGTCCTGGAGGAAGTACTAGAATGATCCTCAGATGCAAGCCTGGTGAGACTTTGTCTCGCCGACTTTGGAAAAGTTATCAAGAGGGACCAGTCCTCGGAGGGCATTATTCTTAGAAAAGTAGAGGATCAGCAAAAAAAGGAAGACCCTCAACAAGAAAGATAGATTGAGACAGTGACTGCAACAGGTTGAAAAAGCAACCTTTCTGTGAATGACAGGGGACTGGGCAGTGTTTGGTTTTGCTGTAGTAGGGACACTCTGAGTCAGAACCAACTTGACTAGTATGGTAGTTACATAATCTGGTGTCAATTTAGGACTTGAGAGGATTAAGAGTGAAGGGGTGGAGTCTAGTCTGTCAATCAGGTCATAGCCAATGAGGCCTTTGTGTGGGCATGGCCTTCTCCTGAGGATTCTGACAACTCCTGGATTTCCTCCTTGGAGGTCGGGAGCACTTCTCTTTCTCTGCTCACTCCCTGAGAGATGCTCTACTGACAAGACACGTGACACTATGCCCTGAGAGCTGGAGAAGCCACATGGACCTACCCTGATGCAATGAGACCTCTGGAGCTGGAGAAGCCACGTAGAAACCCCTGCCAGCGCTAAGATGCTTACAACACCACTAGATCCACAAGACTTTCATCCACTGGCCTGTGCTCCTTCTGCATTTGGCATCATTGTATGTATTTCATGAGTCTGAAGAGGACTTTATAGATTGGTATGAGACATATGGATTAATATTGGACTTATGGATGTGATCTGGGCTGGGATGTTTTCTCAGTTGCTCTTGTATACGCTTATATACATATGAGTGTCTGTGAATTTGTTTCTCTAGTCTACCTAGACTAACACATGTATCATAACAAACTTTGGATAATGCTATGAAGAATGGGAATTTCAGAATAGTTGATTGTGCTCCAAGAGAAACTATACATACACCAACAGACAGTCCATTTTTTCTGTTACCTGAACACAGCTTCAGGAGTGTAGGTGGACTCGTCAACCCCCTATCCTAGGAAGATGACACAACCTTGCTTACTAAAAGCAAAGAGGACTTGGAGCCCTTACTGATGAAGATGAACCTTCGGTATGGAGTACAAATCAGTGTAAGGAAAGCCCAAATCCTCACAACTGGACCAGTGGACAACATCACAGTAAATGGAGAAAAGAGAGACTTCATCAAGGACCTCTTTTTCTTGGACCACAGTCAACACTGATGGGAGCCACGATGAAGAAATCAAACGGCACATTGCACTAGACAACACTGCTATAGACCTCTTTAAAATGTTAGCCAGCCAAGATGTTAGTTTGAGGACCAAGGTGTGCCTGACCCCAGTCATGGTCTTGTCAGTCACTTCATCTGCAGGGGAAAGGCGGACAATGGAAGAGGCAGACCGGAGGAGGGGCTGTATTTGAACGATGGTCTTGGTGAAGAATCTCCAGGGTAGAAGAACAAGGACATCGCTCTTAGAGGAAATGCAACCAGAATGCTCCTTGGGAACAAGGACGGAGAGGCTTGGTCTCATGTGTTTCGGATCTGTTACCTGAGAGTCTCTTTCCAGAACAGGATATCACACTTGATAAAATCGAGGGTCCTTGAAAAAGAGGAAGGCCTTCAGGGAGATGGATAGTGTGGCGCGGTGGCTGTGTTCTAACAGTTCATCTGTGAGAGGGCGCAGGACTGGGCGGGGTTCCTTCTGAGGTGCACAAGGTGCCTGTGAGGGCAGCCAACTCCACAGCACCCAAGAACAACAACAAAGGAAAAGGGGGCGTCGTGGTGATTTCTTGCTGCCGTCCCAGAACCACTGCCAGATAGAAGTTTATTTTCTCCAAGATTACGAGGCTAGAAGTCCGGACTCAGGACAAGGGCACTAGTGGAAGGCTTTTTCTCTCTATTGGCTCTGGGGGAAGATCTCTTTTTCAACTTCTGTTTCTTGGTTCCTGGGGGATCGGGGCTGAGGTGGTGTCTGTCGTCCTTCATCTGTGCCTGCTTGCTTAATCAGCTTTCATTTCATGAAACCTCAAAAACTCAACAACAAAGCCTTATTGTGAAGTAGGTGACATTTTAAAATCTGGTTTTGTATCACGAAACTGAATTAAGACACACTTTGTACCTCCTGGTCTGCTTATTGCAGTTCAAAACCACCAGCCCCTCTTTGGGAGGAAGAAGAGGCGTTCTCCTCCCGTGAAGACGTCCGGTCTTGGAAATCCAGAGGGCGGTTGGTTTTCCTCTGTCCCTTGAGGTGCTGGGCTTCAGAATTGACCCCATGGCAGTCTGTTTGTTTGCTTTGATTTTTTTGCACGAATACTGCCTCATGAACACTTTAAAGAAAACCTTTTCCCAAATGAGATCATAACCGTAGGGTTAGGGGTTAGGAGTTACAATATTTTTTGAGCAATACAATTTGATCCATAACAGAGGGTCACAGGAAGTGAGGTTCCAGAGGTAACGGGAGTGCAGCTCAAGAAGGTCCGTGAAGAGCGTTTTAAGGATGCTGGGTGGCATAGGGGTTATGAGTCGGGCTGTCATCTGCAAGGTAAGCAGTTCGACACCACCGGCCCCTCCTCAGGTGAATGACAGGACTTTCTACTCCCCTAGTAAAGAAAATGATAATTTTAAGCATTCACCAGTTCACATTCACAGAGCAGCGTGGGAATGATAAGGTGGGGATGGGAT